ATAGATGTTGTTGTTAGTGACGGTCTAACATTTCAACTTGTTCGTTTTTTTCAGAGGCCTCTTCCGGCGGTGACGCTCAGATGAAAGTTGAATGCGACCGCCTTCGAGTGTCACCAACATGAAAGTGTTAAGATATAAGAGAATTATTTCAATTCCTCAGCTTCGTTTTGTGATTTTCTTGTCTTCCCTAGTTACCCTGGTAATTTTGAGAATGGGCACTATGTTTGAATAAAGCATTGCATTAGTGTGCCAAGGTCTCGACTAGTCGTCGTCTTTAGAGTCCTAAAGCGATGCGTTATTATTGGCCTTATATCTGCCCACCATGCGTTTTATCAAACTTCGGCGAGCTTTTCAATCCATTTTTGAGTCAAAAATAGCAAGATAAGAAAGTTGAGCACTATTGCTTCCCCCTCTTGCACGATGCACTTGATGGTATGACGCGGCTACGTCATGAAGAACGCCGATAAAGCATTGGCAGCTCATGGAGATGTTCTTGTCGAATTTTGCCATGGCCCTAAAAAGTAGTAGTAAAGGTTGAAGGTACATCGAAAAAAGTCAGAACGGAAGTTGAATAGAAGACGCGAGTCGTGGGTCAAATTCTATGAGGAAATGTTGCCTTCATAAAATTGCAAAAGTGTAGAGTTCGCAATAGATGCAGAGCAGGAACTGGACAGAAATCAGGCTCCCACATCGAGTTTGGAAAGCAAACTATTTCTTCTGGACATGAAGCGAGACATTTTTCAGTCGAGTTTCCTTTTCAGTAGCTATACATTCTATACGTATCTTTTGGCTTGATTGAGGGCTGAAAACTATCAGTTGAGCACCATATTGGGTGTTCAAAAAACTCATCACTTCTCGGTGATATTCGTCTTGTCCTGACGTCTTTCGCTAAGCAGAGCTGGCTTCAATAGTAAGCTCACGGGATCCTTACGTTTTCTGGCAATTAACTTTGTAAAATTCGTAAAGCAGTTTGGATGGTGTATGGTATTTGACGATGGAAACGTGTCATTGAGTGTACTTAGCGTGAATTTTCAACAAACCTCTAAGTCATGTATAATGGTTATATTTGAAGACGTTTGTTATTTACTGGGTTTAATTCTGAGTGGTGCAAAGTTTTCTTTTGCGGGGCCTTAAAACACTTAGTGAAGAAGGAAAATCTTCATGAACCTCGAATTACTTCGGATTACTGGTACGGGAGAGTCACTTGTAATTTACTAGTGAGTTTGCAAACTGTGCGCAGCATTCGTCGGTTCTTTTGAGTAGTACAGATTACTAGGTGTACTATGTGAGTTGCAATCAAGCTAAAGAAGAGTAGAAAAGAAGGAGAATTCTCTGGATATATCGGAGCTTTCAATCCTAGATGTCTTTAAGTAGCGTGTATGTTGTGCAGTACGCTTACTGAGTTACAAGTGACTTGACTTTAATCCTCGGGTTCAGGCTTTGCAGAAAGAGTCATACGACTGATATTTATTATCTCATTAATGTTAGCTCAGCGTCGATCTGTAGAATTGCCAACTTATATCGATCCTGAGAGTGATAAGGCCATCTGAGGCATCCACAATTCTCCATTCAAAGAAAAATGGAAAGCTGTTTAGCATCCCACCAAGTGTGCGTCAGCCGTTGATGTAAAATAAAGACGAAGGCGGCTTTGGTAATGTAACATCGACGAAGCATTGTGAGACCAGCCGTATTGCACTAAGAGAGTGCTGTCTGTCATTAAAGATGGCCTGAAAAATGTCTCTTGTGAAAAATTGCGTTCGGGGAAAGAGGGGAAGTTTTTAGGTCGTAGAAGAGCCGCTGTCTGCATTTTGCGGGCTTTCATCAGGAGGGGGGGGGGCATACACTCGATACATAGAGCCATGTACTCTGGTAACCTTCACTTTGAGCGTCATGATAGAACACAACCTTCACCAGGGAAGAAGTACAGAAGTCATCCGGGGCGAAGCCCCGGAAATTATGACATAACTAATGACATAATTGTATAGGGATGAATTTAAATGAGGCAAATATAGCAGTGACATTCAAAAGAAGCTCAAAAAAACCGAAGGATTGCGTTTTTATGGCCTTTTTTGTTGAGAAGAAGGTTTTAATTTAAAAATTCTATCAAAAACTAGGGCAAAATTTCTCAATTAACCTTTCTCTGAACTGCGGTTGAATGTTGGAAGTTCATTAAAGCCGCTAGAGTTTAATAAAAACGAAAAACTGCGCTCAAATCTTGCGCAAAGAGCCGCCATATGAATGCTGGTCTATCTCGTTATGGAGTGATTTTCAAGACCCGCGACGTTGTCAGTGCTCCTGGCCGTCTCATGAGGATCACAACGATATATAATTTTGCAGGGTTTCGTTGAGACCCTGCGAAGATCCACGACCAGAGCCAAATGCCCCGTCGGCTCTGGTCTGTCTCCGCTGCTCGTCTGCGTCTCTGCGCGCTGCGCGCTACCTCGCTACCTCAAATGCGGGGCGCGGGGCATTTGGCTCTGCTACCCTTTTCTTCGTTGTTTGGAGCCCACTTTCGATAATCTATATATCATATTAAAGCTCTTGATCTCTATTTTCACGCTGACAACGTCGCGGAACTTCTTTTTGGGATTTAAACGAGAAATCCTCAAAAAACGGTGTTTTCGAAAACCTCTTGTTTTTTCTTCAGTTTAACTTTTTTCACTCGGTTTTTTTGTGCATTCGATAGGTCTTGTTTCTGTCTATGATGTAGACAACGTCGCCGAGCTTACTTCTTTGCTTATACCGTTTTTTTTTGTGAAAAATACAAAAAAGTGCGTTTTTCTTTACCTTGTTCTCTTTCTGTGCTTTTGCAGCGAATTTTTTCCAGCTTGGACGATACTTGCTCAGAATGATGAGCGGAAGAATTCAGACAATGTCGCAGCGTACGAAATGACTATGCGGGGGTGAAAATTTAAAGGACGCATCAAAAATCAGATTGGCGTCGATGTGCAACACAACTTTACAGACATGTTTATCATGTTCAATTCAGTTGTTGACAAGTTCTTCTTCTTTCGGTCTCCCCACTAACGCCACAGCTAAACAGCGCTTTTTTTTTGACTGGAAAAGAACTTTGTTGTTGTTGTCACCCAATTTTAGCGGCAATCCTGGAGACGAAACTCTGCGTAGGAAACCACCAAGTTAAGGTTTCAGATTTGGTGATGCGCTAATCTCTGCTTTATATGAATTTTCTAAGTTTTCTAATTTAATTTGTATCTCTAAATTTTCGTCTTTCTGAAACAACCTTCACTTTTTATAGGGGGAAAAAACTCAAACAACTATCACTTTCAAGCCCTTGTCTCTTGACTATCGAAGGTATGGGGGGGGGGGGGATCTGGGAACACAGATACGAGCAAATTTAATGTGAATCAAATGAATGGATACTCTCATGTTTTGTGGCAGATGAGCCAAAAAAATAATCATTACTGGAATCAGAAAATTATGATTCATAGGAAAATTTATTATCTGAGGTGATTTAATGCAATGCAAATTACAAGGCAAATTTCGACAATAAGCTTGGTACCACTTACTCCCTCCTCCCCCTCCATCTCCAGAATTTCCACAGGTCTTATATATTCTTATTGAAATCTGAGCATTTACTTCACTGCGGAAAAGGAGTTCAAAAAATCTACAGTAGGGACTCGTGGACATTATCTCGCCATCAGTTCACCTGCGCGGAGATTTGACACAAAGCTATACTGTGTGAAGGTGCGCGCATTGTTGCAGTTGTCTGCGCGGAGTCTCATTTTCCTCGACAATGTGTTTTTTGATGATTGGGATTTTCCTAAAGTAAGGTTCCGAAGAAGACTTGCACTGAAAAGAAAAATCACCTTAATGGCATTGTCCTTGCCTTCCCTAATTGCCCATTTGACCCTAATCTCCTGATATTTTGAAGTTGCTTACTGGAGCTGTAGCGGGGGGGGGGGGGGAGGGGGGAGGAGAGAGAAGGAAGAGTGTAGAGCTGTGAGCTATTGCAATGTCCTCCCCTTTCTCATTCCTTTTCGTAGAAGAGTGGAAAATTATTTGTAGGTACTATCGAGATGGATAGTGATCACAGTAGTTTCTGAAAAGCCAAGACTGGAATGTGTAAATCCTAAGTGAGCTGATTCTGCCGCTCTTCTTGGAATTGAAGAATTTATCCTCCCTTATAGATTCTAATCGGACTCCTCACACGTGAAGATGAAGCCCGGATACAGACATATCTAGGCACTTTAGCTTGCCAACGCGGAAGATGTCGTCGATAAGACGACGCACAACGCAGGATGCGCACATGGCTTGTAAATCGCACGTCGATCTCACGATTATAGTATTCGTTGTCGAGGACGGGCGGCTACGTTAGATTCGGTGAAAATTACTGCCATCGGGGATTTCGGCGGTGCTTAGTCGGCGGCGCAGGGAATCAGGATTGCTCGGGGGATGGTGTTGTATCGTAGCAATTTTGTGAATGAGAGAGATGAAACACTGGGGGTGGGGAGGGGGGGGGGGGGAAGGGGCGATTGGCTTGGAAGGTGTTTGAGCTTTTACTAATAATGCTTATGAAAGTCATTTTTCAGAACTTCTTCTATTGGGATGTTTTACCCACTCAAGGAAAAATCCTTATGCGCATTTTCTTACAGTGAGAAAATACTGCTTTTGTCTGATTTGATGGCTGCGATACTGAAGGCAATAAAAAAATGCTTGTGGAATCAGCTATACTATCAAAAATGCGGCAAATCTTGTGTTTCTGCGGTGCCGAATTGCTGACAACATTTGCGCGTGAAGAAACTGTTTCGACCGTAGGCCCGGCTATCCCACATTCTCAATTTTGTGCCCCCTGGCAACTTGTTCACGCACAGATTTTGTCGGCTTCCACCCTCGGGACACTATAACGTTCAGATATATCAGCCTATACATCTTCCATAGCAGAGAAATAGTTTTGAATTTTCGGAGCTTCTGGAAAACACTTTTTACGTCATCGGAATCTAAGTTATTGTTTTTTTTTGAACTTATATACTTCTCGACGAATGCCCGCTTTTCTAGGAAGATGGCTTGCCAAAGAGAAGCTTTCACCAGAAGAAGGTGTTGCTATGCTGGAAGAACGATATAAGAAGTACAAATATGTTGAAGCTAGCATGACTTCACAGAAAACGAGGTATGAACAACTCTTTTCTACTATATTTCATGTCAGAAGTTTACCTGAGTAGGTATTAGTTTTTGTCGTGTCGTCCGCGAATTCTTCTGCTCAAATTCCAGATTTTTGACAAATGCCAGGAGTTTGCGTTGACTTTTTACATTGATACAAAATCAATACTCTTGATTCAACTGGCTTGGCAGCTGGAAGTTGGGGCTTCGTGACCTAATTAAGGCTAGGTAATGATCAGAGAGCACGCGCGCGGGAGAGACGCAGACTGCGTCGCGGGCGCGAGGGGCCTTAATTAGGTCACAAAGCCCCTTCCAGCCGCCAAGTCAGTTGAATCAAAGGTTAACTTGTATAGTTTTATGCCGATTAAAGTGGGGAGGGGTCAAGAATGCCGATGTTGCTGCTCCCTAGATTATGTACAGCAAATCTTTTCCTTTCACAAAAAACTATACAAGTTGTAACCTTTCAGAAGATATCCTTTTGTGATGAGTTTGAGCGAGAAAATACTGCAAAAGCAGTTGAAGGTCAAGGCAGAATTTTTAGAATTGTTTTCAGGATGGCTGAGAAGTTGCCTGATTTCAAAAACAGCCTTGCCATACTTGATGTGTTGATCGACAAGAAGGTTAGTCTTGTTGATTCATACCTATAATGCATAATCAGAAATGTTTGAACCCCATCATTCTTCTGTCGTGACTGTAGAAACATTCAAAAATATAAGATAATGATCTAGAGGTGTTACATACGGTTATGCAGTCATCTTCTTCTCGAACCATCTATGCAATCCAGCAAAAATGTTTTTTTAAACCCCCGTTTTTTTGAGGAGTCTGTATTTTCTTCCTCTAGAAAAAAGAAGCTTTCAGCTACAGAAATTTCTTCACTGACACCCCCGCACAGTAATCAGCATTTGTTCCATATAAGCATTTTTGGACACACTGCTACATATTTGCGTGAATGTTTCAGCTTTCTTTTCGGAAGAAAAAAAAGCTTCTATATTTATTTTCTATACGTCCCTATACGTTTTAAGGCAACACCTCATTCTTTTGCTTTGAGATAGAACATCAAGCATTCTTGACAATATCTGAAGGCTCTCAAATGTTGCAAGTAATGGTTATTAATTCAAGGAGAAAGAAGAGCCGTTTGAGACCACTTATCTTGTCTCCGAGGAAGTCTACACCAAGGCTACAGTGCCAAAGCCTGAGAAGGTTTGATTTTTGGTTCAAGGCTTTCTTTGCTCTCTATTTTGAAGTTTGTAGGTGTCGATATGGTTAGGAGCTAACGTGATGGTCGAGTATGAGTTGGACAAAGCTAAAGAGCTTTTGGAAAAGAATAGAGGAAATGTACAGAAGGTAGGGATTTTTTTTATTAGGTATTTTGGCTGTAGTGACTTTGATTTCTTCATTGTTTGAATTTTTTCTTTTAGGCAGTGGATGAACTAACCTCAGAATTAGCTTTCGTAAAAGATCAAATCACCACAACTGAAGTAAATATTGCTCATGTACACAACTACGGTGTAAAGAAACGACAACAGAAAACTGCTGCTTGAATGTCCGATGTTAGAACCCTATTTTGGTTGATTCTTAAATTGTTATGAACCTTTTTTTTGTTATCTGCAGCTGATGATTATACGAACACCTTCGATTTCCTCATGTCTCAAATCTTTCCCTTTTATGAAGATTACGACCAGACACTGTCTCATTGTCACTTCTTACTTTATGGCTTTGGCACAGTGTAATTGTTAATCTCAAGTAGGAGAATTTTACTGAAGTTGTCGTTTTATACTTCGTTTTCCGTTGAATGAACTGTGAGCAGCCACCTGTTCAAAATTTTGTTTTTTTCATCTCATTCATCTCCTTCACATAATTTGCTGCTTGTGAAATCAAATGGCAGGTATCATGTCAGATTTTGCACAATTATAGCTAGGATATCAGCTCCAGGATCCAAATTGTTTATCTGCAAATTGCGCTCCTTACTAGGGAAGCATGTTTAGTCAAAGTGGCCTTTTCAGATAGGACGTGTATCATATTGAAGAGGATAAATCACCGATTCCAAGTCTGTCTTCTTTATCTGCGGGACATTTGTGCACGATGAGTTATGAGCGTTTATTGGAGAAAAAATAAAAGTGCATTTAGGATAAATGAATTGATCAAATCTTATCCCCTCAAATAAAGAAACCGAATGTGATATTTTTCTATCTTAGAGTACAAATCTATTAAATAAAGTGCTCTGATAATTATCACTGCTCCATCAAAGCGCAAAAAAAGATATTACGATTATTTTTCTCTTATTTGCACATTCAATTTTTTCATTAATAAACGCTCATAACTCCTCGTCCACAAATTCGTAAATTAGGAAGCCAGATTTGGAATCAGCGTTTTATGCCCGGTATGGTATATATCTCATGTAAAAAGGCCCCTTCGGAAACACACTTCCCTTGTTACCATCGAATGGTAACGCAAGCTGAGTTCGGAAACCTTGGTTTAAGCATAAGAATTTCACGAGAAGTATGAGTGGTTGTAGATTTGGAATCTGCAATTCAGGGGAGGAGCGGCTAGTCCATTTGACCTTACATGGAATGTTACTATCGGGGCATGAAACACTGATTTCAAACCTGTCTTTCTTATCTGCGGAGCAATTTTGGCGGAGTTGAGTGGAAATTGAATGCGCGGCTAAATAAAGTAAGTTGTCAGTATCTTACATGGAGCAGCGAAGTGCACACGTGTTGTCCTAAACGTTGTGTGGCATGAGGCCTCGGGCAGAGTTCACGCGATTTGATCGTCGCAATTCAGTCGCTACAAGACAACTCTTAGACAAATCACCGGAACTTCCGCAGGACAATCCAAATTTGCAGAAGTTCCGCAGGATTTCGTTCACCATTGCAAAAATGAAAACTTTGAGAACGGAACTTCCGCGGGATTTTCATGCCAAACTGGTTGAAAACCGGAACTTCCGCAGAACCTTCCTCAAAATCCTGCGGAAATTCCAAAAATGCCAGAGGTTTTGCAGCACTTCGGCCTGCCAGAACTTCCGCAGGACTTATCGAACATGTCAGCCGTAGCGTAGAGGATAGTAGGTGGGTCTTACAGGCAATAGAGTGAGGTTCAAATCTCGCTTCGGTGTTCTCTTTTGCTGCTGTGGTTCGCATTCTTCGGAACTTCCGCAGCACGTTTACGGAACTTCCACAGGTGACCCGGCGGAACTTCCGCCAGCGCTCTGCAAAAGTTCCGGTCATTTGTCTGGGTGTTACAAGTTCATTGCATGCCGATCAGCTTGCATTTCGGTTGTGATACTTTCCCAGCGCGCAATCTTCGTAAGTAAAACGAAAATGAAAATCGCGGCGATTAAATCGCGACGATCTAATCGCTTGAACTCTGTCCGAGGCCTAAGGTGCTCTGATAGTTATCGCTACTCCACTTGAGCACTAGGAGAAATGTTACTACATTTATTATCCTAATTATGCAAACAATTCGCTCTAAAAAGCGCTCACAACTCCTCGTCCAGAAATGGTCCCAGTAGAAAAACAGTGTTAGAGACTTCATAAGCGGATTTTGGAAGAGACCTTGACCTAGAGTTTCATCGTGGCATCCTGCCATCATTCAGGTCCCTGTCCAAAAGCGTAAGGCCCAAGGCATACCTCACGCGATTTCACGAAATCGCCACATCCTCGCGACCTGACGATTTGCCAGATGTCTAGAGATTAAACATGCGAGGCTCTCAGATGCGTGGGTGCGTAGATTCCGTAAATTGTAACAAACGCAGCAAGTCTGGCCCAAGCAGAGTGCGTTTACGACCAGCTATGGAGAGTCGTTGCAGTGCCAAATCGCGCGGCGACTAAAATCGCGCGAGGTATGTCTTAGGCCTAAGACGATCCGATGAGCCCAACCTTTGGAAACTATGCGTAAATGGATCCATGCAGCTTTTAGCCGGCAAGGTTTGAACTTGCTTGGCATGTGTATTTTCAAGTTGGCTTTAGCATAAAAAATTATCAAAACTTACGTTTTTTGTGAGAACGGCAAAAAAGAATACCCTTATATTGTCGATTCTCAAAAGTTTCACCTATGAAATCAAAAAGATTTTTGCTTAGAGATGTAGCTCAAGGTGGTATTGTCATTATGGCAATGAACAAGCCATGATATGTTTGATAACTATTCCAAATTCGCATACATCCTACGGCACAAAGGTCTTCCTCTCCCAAAGTCACCGATCTTACATGAAAAAGCTTTTGAAATGAGTAGTTGTTTTCAAGTATGGCCAGCACTGCCCGGTGAATGTAGCCATCATTGGGCCTCGGACAAAGTTCACGCGATTTGATCGTCGCAATGTAATCGCCGCGATTTTCATTCATTTTCATTTTACATTCAAAAATTTCGAGCTGGAAAAGTATCACAACCGAAATGCATCTGATCGGCATGCAATGAACTCGTAACAGTTGTCTTGCAGCGATTGAATCGCGACGATCAAATTGCGTGAACTCTGTCCGAGGCTTTAGGCGAATACGACGAAAGCATACAGATAGTAGGACAAGTGCGAGCCTTTGCGAAGCAGAGGTGACGCACTGATATGTAACAAATGGCATCCTAAGCGACTGGATTCGCCACTTTGATTTACAGTGTTCTCTATTTTTTACTGTGACCTGGTGTCAAAACAGAGAAATTATGCATATTCTAGAGACCAGTTGAACTCTTTATCTGAGAAAAATAGGAGCAACTCATTAGTAAGCTACGTCACGACACATGAAGCTCAAACACTGTGCAATAATTTACTGCACACAACATTGCTGTCACGTGGACTTTGGCAGGAAGCGCACATCTTTGTGAAACAAATTAGAATCAGCTATAGCCGATGCAAATGGTACTGTTCGGTTTTGCCCATGAGGCGTTGTTTTTTCTGAGAAAGTTTGCGATGTAAAGAGTCTGATTTGCATCGCTTATGACGTGATCGAAGCCCAAATTCCAAACCCAGCTCGAAAGTTTTACTTGTCTCTCTGTCAGTTGCACTTGTCCACAGCACGTTCCTTCGCAAGCGCATTTGGTGGTGAACGCATAGGCATCCAGAAATTCGTATCCGGTCACATTGTAGACGTCCCCAAAGTACAGTTTGTGCTGATCTGAACTAATCTAATTGTAATTGGCAGTACATTAGCTACATAGGTGCTTCTTAGATGTTATGCGAGCCGTTAGCATCTCCCTTTCAAAATCTACTACTCACCAATTCGTTCTTCGAGCGACATTTCTCAGTCATCCGGTGAAATTTTTCGCGAAGTGAACTGACATAGCAAGACAAAGCCAGTCATCGCAACTATTAGAATGATTATGTTTGTAAGCAGCTCAAAATCCTTATAATTATTGTGACGGATATAATGTTTGCTAGGTTTTGCTTCAAAGTTACAGTTTTAGAAACCACTCTCATATTATGAAGAAAACACTTCTTCAACAACCCACCGCACCCAGTTGTACCAGTAATATCAATGAGCGAGTCAGGTAAGACAAGAGGACAAAGACTTGTTGTCGGAAGCTTCAACAACTCATACATTTTCTGAATGTGGGTAAATAACTCAAAACTTTTGCGAATTCCAGCCGTAGGACTCTATTATAACCAAAGACTATATAACCAATGCAAGATTTGCAATGTTTCGTTTTAAAGCTTTTTCCGAGGAAACATATGCGAAGACTTCTCCAAAAAACCCCTCTCGGAATAGGAAACCGCAGAATCAAAATGTCAACTTCTTGTTCTCTCAGTCAAAATGCAACCTTTTGAATCTCAAAACTCCATTTTTTTTGACAAAAACAAACAACGGTTCACTCAAAAGCGAATTTCGAGTAAATATTCGAGTGATTTATCGAGTAACTAAAGTAACCATATCTAAAACTTGCTGACATATTCGGCTGAAGCCGATCCATTCTTAATCAGCATCCTCATATCCCCTATACCAACTCCTAGCTCAAGATTTGCCAAAATCTGTGGAATCGATAAAATAGATTTTATTTTCAGTCAGCACCCTCATTTATCCCCCCCCCCCCACCCCCCTGTACCAACTCCTATCGCAGCTTAACCCTTTCGGACCTGGTGGTGGCAATTGCCACCATCAATTCAGAGATCTACTGTACTGGCGCAAGAACATCATTTCACTACTCATTGCTCTCAAACGCTTCATATAGCCTTTGCCTTCCAAAAGTAGCTTCGAGACCGGGTGTTCATTGGCTTCTCTGTCAGTAGTGCGTACATTTCTGTAAACCAGTGGATTTCAACCAATCAATGATTTTCGGCGGCTTGAGCACCGTTTCAGTATCTCGTTTGTTAGCCAAAAAATATTCATAATATTACCATAATGTTTTAGTACGATGCTGAGCAAATGTAACTGCTAATTGTTTGCGGGTCTACATGTATCGCGGGAGATTTGAAAATCCAAAATAAACGCAAAACCAAAAAATTAAATAATCAAAAAGAAATATTAGGATGATCCAAAAGTAATGGGGCACCTTGATTTTCTTGAACATTCTTCAAGATCTCTTTCTAATTAACCATGAGCAACCGGCAATTTGAACGCTTTTGTATAAAGTGACCCTCGCAGGTTATCTTGACAGCGCCTTGCAGCACCCCATCCACATCTCTTCGAGCGACGCTTCAAAGAAGTCAGACAGACTTTTTTGAACGCCATCCGATTTTGTGCTGCTGCACCTGAAAGTCTCTCGACATATGGCATACCATTCGAAAGAGCTTTCCAAGCTTTTTCTAATGGTTACTTGAATATTCAAAAAATTGCCCATTATTTCGTACAAAAAAGCACTTTATTTGAAAAAGTGCGGTGTTTGGG